TACCTCATATTTAAATTAATAATAACAATTAAAAAAATAAATGTGGTCATTCTAATTGATATTATCATTATAGTTTTATTTTATAGTATTATTTATTTTTATCTTTGGTTTAAGTAAGGATTTATTATTGTTGGTATTTGTTAATATTATCTGGGTGTGTTCTGATGGGGACCTCACTGAAAAGTATTTTAATCCATGTTGGTGATGATCTATCCATGAGAAATTCCTACTCTTTTCCAATAAGTATATACCTACAGAGAATTTTAACATGCATAATTGTTATGTACACAAGGCCAAAATCTTAAATGTCGCCCTCAGGTTAAAAAAGTAAAGCATTAATGACCAGGAATGAAGTGATCTTGACTAGTCAGTGCGTACATAATTTTGCCCAGCTTAGCTATGCTGCCCTATAGTTGAAGTAGTTTGTCTTTCATTATTTGTTAATTAAATTAAATTAATCTTTATGTTTGTATTTTCAGGAGAGATAATGATACAAGCAGTGATTACCTGATTTCATCATGATGTTAAATCCTGTACTTACAAGTGATAAAATTGTGTTAAATCAGGAAAACCATGTACCATATAGCAATACAAACCTTGCCTTAATTAGAATACTGGTGTTTGTGTATACCTAAATCATTGGTTAAATATAGTTACAGAAGATATTTTTATAATAAAGTTGACAGGTAATATACCTACTACCTAGTCTTGTTGCTCTTGAATACTCTTAACACTGAGAGTTAAGTGGGTTTAAGGAACATGTTTGTATTTATGTAGTTAGGTTAGGTAGCTTCTGTGGGCCATAAAGTTCCAGCCCAAATTTTCAATTTCCGATTTCAAAGTTGAATCGCGACAAATAAAGAATTATTTTTGGATAATTTTCTTTTGTTTAACTAATGTAACAACATGTTACATACCTGCAACATTTCATATGCATTTAAGCTCTCCTTTCTCTGGCATTTAAAAAGAAATAATTATCCAAAAATTTTCTGTAACATGAATCTATTCAAAGACAAATAATAATAAGTATTATTATTATTATTATTATTATGTTACTAAAGCCTTAAGGGGAAATTAGACAATGGAGAAATTAGAGAACAATTGAAAAAAAATGATGTTAAGTGGAAAATAACACAAAAGGTATTCCCCTGAAGTCTGATTTAGTGAAATTATTATTATTATTATTATTATTATTATTATTATTATTATTATTATTATTATTATTATTATTATTGTTATTATTAGTATTATTATTATCATCATCATCATCATCATCACCATTATCATCATTGATATTATTGTTATTGTTGTAGTGGATGTTGTTGATTTGATTGTTAAATATCATCATTAATATTATTATCGTTATTATTAATATTATTATCATTATAATTGTGATGTGCAATTTGTATATTTGTTTGTTATACCCCACAGTAATTACACTTGCCATATAAAATTAGTGAACTGTGTCTTAAGTTATTTGTTAATTTTATGATAGAATTTCTGTATAAACAGCTCCGAACAAATTTCAGATGATTTGTAAACTTGATGTGATTCACTGTTATTCCAGTAAAATTGTATTGTGGTCCATACCGAGCCTGATAAAATGGTGCTTTTTTTGACAATTTTTTATTGCACAATACAAGACTTTTTAATACCTTGTTTCACAGACTTATTTTGTTAAAGATCATCAGAGGAGGGTGAAAAAAAAAATAAATAAAATTGTGTTTTCTTATTTAGCAACTGGTTTTGCCAAAAATACCCAGATTGAGGATAAAATAAAAATAAAATTTTATTGATTAATGTAAATATATTCTATATTGTTGTAAAGGGATGGGTAAATGCTTAAATTTGTATAATTATGAAGAAATATACATATTTTATTTTTGGAGATTTCAAAGCAGCAGCGGCCGTACTAAAAATAAAGAAAACCTTATATTTCTATTTTTTGGCGGCGGTTGGTATGCTAATTGGCCAAAAATACAATTTTATTTTTATACAAAATCATTATTGGCTGCCACGGGTTCGCAAAACAAGGTATAAAAGAGTCTTGTCTGATGTACAATGACGGTGTCAGCGGGGAGACAACCTTCCCCCCCCCCCCAATCGGACAGGTCATTTCCCTCCACCGTCAAGAAACAAAAAAAATAAATAAAAAAATAGGCTTAATGAAATAAAATGCATGTTTATAGAATTAAGTTTGAGAGTATAGTAACAATTATACATATATATACATATATATATAT